CGCTCCTCCCACCACCAAACCTGCACCACCCCCGCATCTTACGCCACACTCCACAATCAATGACGTCACCCTCCGGCCCCACCCCAGCGACAAAACACGCACGCCGACGTCATCGCTCACCTGGCGCCACAATCCTAAACCGCCGCCAACGTCACCGTTCCTTCAGTGACGTCACTCTCCCCGGCCCCACCAACCTCCTTTATAAACCCTCCTCACACAGATCCCCTCCCAACACCATTTTTATGCGACCGAAAATTGAAATCCAGCCGCTAATTATGCAGCGTGCGGCCTTCCGCCGTTCCCCGTCATCATCTTCTTCCTTCGGCGGCGGCGTCGTGAAGACTGCGGTGGAGGAGACCCCGGTGGTGGTGATCAGCCGGCGAGGATGCTGTATGGCCCACGTCGTAAAGCATCTCCTTCGAGCGCTCGGGGTGAGTCCGACGGTGTGGGAGATCGCCAGAGAGGAAGAGGAGACGGCGCTGATGGTGGAGCTCGGCGAGATGGGGCCCACGGGAGAAGATGCAGGAGGTTTTGCCGTGACCTTACCGGTGGTGTTTATAGGCGGGAGGTTTGTCGGGGGGTTGGATCAGCTGATGGCGGCGCACATTACAGGGGAACTTGTTCCCAACCTGAAGGAGGCTGGAGCTCTGTGGTTGTAGAACAGGGATGATTTTGTTGTTCTGTTTTTTGGGCGAATGTGTAAAATATATAGATTTTTGGGGGATTTACATTTCACCACTGATTTTTTTGTGCTTATATACAATTTATTTAAATTTTTATTTTATATTATGGAAAATTTATTCAAATTGATCCTCCATTAAGACTATTTTAATCCCAATTTAAAAAGTCTGGAGACTATTTTGATATTTTTTATAAATTCTAAGACTACAACGGCCCCATGTAAATAGTTAGGAACAATATTAACATTAACTGCCTCACAAACTTTGCAACGCTTCCCCAAGATAGCAAACACGGCTACTATTGTTGATATCTACATGCAACAAGTCATGAATCTCCCCACCTCCACATGTCGCCAATCTCATTGATTTTTGCACCCAACAGAACTCCCAACACAAATCTCAACATCTCCTTTATACGGAGAAAAGTTTACATCCGCACACAGTGCGTCCGGACGGCCAACTGTCGAGCGCCATGTCGCCATATATACTTCGGCGCCGGGCGATGTGGTGCCCTACAGTTGGCTGCCTGGACATAATATTTTTTTCCTTTACACGCTGCTAATATGTTCGAAGTTTGCCCACAACTGTTGCATGTGAAGCTCTCATCATAAATCTCCTCCTCTACAAAACATTGTTCCAATCAATTTCATCCAATGAGAGTATCCAATGTCAACAACTGCAGCAAGTTTCTTTTTTTCTCTTCTCATTTTTATTTAACTTTAACCAAGCATGAGAACATAACATCATGAGTTTTAAATACATTGTATTTAATCTATACTATATTTAAAATACTCCTAAAAGGGTGTAAAACAAGACTGGAGAAAATAATAAATAGATAGTTAATGAGAGAAAGATGAAACAACAAATATATATATATATATATATTAATGCTTTGTATAATACTCTTACTATATACATAAGCACAAACATATAAACTTCCTCATCTCAATTCAATCTTTAATAATACTCTTACTAATTAATGCTATGATGCCTTAAAAAACAAACTAAAATGGACTAATAACCTATGATATAAGCAAGCCACCCATTTGACTTTAAAACTTTTATTTTAAAATAAAGTAGGCCAAGTCAACTAAAAAATATTTGAAAAACTTATATATATGCCACATAATTCTTAAGTATTTGCATGCTTAACATTAGGGCTGTCAAAAAAAACTTGTTCGCGAACAGTTCATGTTCGGTTCGTCAATGAGTTCGTGCTCGATTCGTTTGATAAGTAAACGAGACCAACGTGAACAAATTTTTTTTTGTTTGGTTAGTTAAACAAACCAAACACGAACATTGATACGTTCGTTCTTGTTCGAATCGTTATTGTTCGAAATATAAAATAATTTAAAATAATTATATATAAAAAATTAAATTTTATAAATTATAACATATAATAAATTAATAATAATAATATATTAATATACTATGTTAGTAATATACTAATATAGATATTATATATTAATTTAATACAAGTTATAAAATTAATATAATATATTATTTATATATATTAATATTAGGGATGTCAAACTGGCTCATTGTTCGCGAACAGCTCGCGTTTGACTCGTGTTCGGCTCCTTTGTAAAAAAACAAACACGAACAACGACTTCACAACAATTTCGAACATTGGCTTATTTCAAACAAACTAAATTTTAAACGAATCGAACACGAACACAAGCTCTGTTCGTTCATGTTCGGTTCGTTTACACCCCTACTTAACACCCAAAATTTGATATTTATTTATATAACATTCAAATCTTTAACATCACATCAAAAATATAGTAATATTCAATTTCTTAATATAAATTACGCAATTTCAAGGATATGGTTTTAAGTAATTGTGACACTTAAAATATAATAGAAACAAATATCAAAATTAGATGATCAATATGAATATATATATAAAATGTGATCCAACCAATTAAAAATATATAAATCCCTCTAAAATATTTAAAAAAAAAACTAATGAAAGCTGGATTATTGCATCCAACTAATTACCTCGCTACTTTTGATGATCAAAGCCTCAATGCACATGACATCCCGTTCAAAGGCACTCAGCGTTAACCTCACAAGCCAGTTGAGAGAGAATGATAAGAAGCAAAAGCAGTGCCTCCGTTCCCAACTCTTTTCCTGTGGAAAAAAAAAAAGAAGAGAGATTTACATGCATACCACTCAATCCTGATGTATTTCAATATCTAATACCTAAACTTCAATTTTTACATGTATGTCATTTTACCTATGCAATGAAAATGCGTATTCCACTTTTTAAAAGTTAAAACATAGTGATAGTTTTATGTGATATAAAAGATATGTTTGATATTAATGTAAAAAGAGTGAAGTTCGTGTATTAGAAATGTAAATACATAAGAAATGGGTAATATGTATGTAAATGTGCCACGTAAAAAGAGAACAGAAACCTTGTTTTCAATTCAAAGCATTTGTCGCTAGAAATCTACTTTGAACCGTAAACTCTCAGAAGCTTGATCCACTCGATAGACTCGCCGTGGCGTAATGCACCCGAAAAATTGTCAGAATGAATCCATCCATGAATCAAAATCATCCATCAGAGCAACTGAGCCTATATTGGTAGAAACACCCTTGGACGAAGCCTCTCCAATTTGAGTCAGTACGGACTTACGCCCTCCAAGCACGTCAATCGAGCTTGAACCAGAATGTGAATCGGAGCGGTTTGTATTAGAAAAGATTGAGCCTAGTTGTGGAGCTGGACCTGGAGCTCTCTCATGTTTCTGCAATTTCAGGATTTGTGAGGTTTCAGCAAGCAAATCATCAATGGAATCATCATCTATTGAAGCTTTCACCATTTTCTTTGAAGAAAACTGAGTTTGATCACTTAGATGTTGATGCATTGGATGAAAGAAATCAATATTTGGAGCAGATTTCCAATGGAGTGGCAGAGAATCATCCAAAGAGATCTTAGAAGCAGGTTCTTGGTCGAGAAAATCACATTGAATAGAATCTGAAAGACTGGTTTCTTTAAATGATTGGAGAAGTATGTCAAGCTCTGCTTCTGCTTCTCCGATCTTTGAAGTAGAGCTTTTGCTGATATTTTTCAGTGATTGCTCGGATTCTATTTGATCATATTGCTGCGCTAAATTTACGCCAACCGTTGTTTCATGGCCATTTCCATGTGCTGGGGAAGCTCTGGAGATGTTTGGATTAGGGAAAATATTTGTGTTGTGGTCATCAGCATGGCCTAGCAGATCTTTTGATGGTGGGGAATAAATGTGAGAATGTGGTGCTTCCAGATTTTGCTCCATGTTAAATGCCTCAAGTTCTTCGGATTGAAAAGATGAAGAACAACCTTTCGAGTCGTCATAACGCTGTTGAAGAATATGGAATTGAGAGAAAAAAAAAAAGATGAAACATTAACCATATAGTATTAAATTATTAATTGAAAAATGGCTTAGTTCACTTGAGCTTTAAAATAAAACTGATGCTAACAACCTAGTTTCTTTTTTTTACATAAAATTTACTTCAGTATTGATGGCCTAAGTGAGAATCCAGATTTCATGCTAGCATGTAAAAATGATAGGCACAGAAATAATAATTCACTTTGCATAACCAAATTCCCAATATTAATGCCCTTTAAATTAAAGAAACTATCTCATTGATATAGCTTGCAATTCACATTTATATAGGCAAAGTATTTTGGGTTTATTATAACAAAAAATAAGGATATCAATGATAATATAAATATTATACTACTTGATTGATTATCTGGAGATAATCAATCCAATCTGAGCAAATGATCCTTCTTAACAATCATAGATTGCACTTGGGAGAAAAGCTTATTGAAGATGACAGCTTTAAGCCAATATTGGCTAATAAAGGGTTTGTGTCATATGGAATGTATTGTATGAATTGTGTCGTATGATTCACATCTCATAGACTTGGTCATTAAGAAACATATGAACATATTATATTGTTATGATATAATAGTACCATCAAGGTTAGGAAAATCAGGCTAACCACCTAAACAGGAGGAAGGATTCATCAACAATAGATTTTATTAGTGCAAAATCATATGATAGACTTGAATGGACATTAGGTCATTGAAAGTTTCAGTCAAACTTTAATTATATCATTCACGATAAATTAGTACAAATGATGGATAACTCATATGAGCATAAAATTGTCAACAATTGCTAGTTTTTCTTCTTCTTCTTCTGTTTTTGTAGGGGGGTTTTCTTAAATGTAATTTCCTCTAGTCATGACTTTTAATATTAGGTTTTTAATGAAAACAGCTTAAAATTGATAGACCATTTTTGTAATGATGATCTCCTTCGATTATGATATTTTGATAGCTGAATCCATCGCCAAAGAGAACCTCTAAGTATTTATATTTGGGAGCTAGATTTTGTCCATGAGCCCCTCTAATTATGAGTTCTTGATAATGGAACCGATCAACAAGGTAGGAATATAGCTTTTGGAGTTGAAACTCCAATAGGTTGATATCTATTGATTCAATCATAAATTTTTTGAGCACTTGAAAGCTATCATTGATTCGCAACGTTGAGACAAGTCAAAAAAGCTTTGGAAGGTCAACTTGACCATAAAATATGTTAGTGGGAGCCTATTTCGTGTGATTTCCTTTTTGGTTCATTGGAGAGAGAGAATCAATGATTTTGAAAACCCAATTGTCATTGCATTCAACTCTAATGTGGTGAACTGGTCATTGATCTTCTTTCTTCAGCTCAGCTTATCAACCCTTACAAGTTTCTACACTCTGCTTGCATTATTTTTTAAGCCTTTTTACCAGTCAAGTTAGGGCATTACATGTAGAGCATTTGAGATTGTGTAAATATCAAATCAAAATTAAATACCTTCTAGATATAGACACAAAGATGTCATCAACCTATGATATCTTACAAAGTTGAAGATGTAGTTCAAGTTTAAAATTCATGTGGCCCGGGATGGAATTAGACACGACAATCATATAACGAACTATAAACTATAAAATCACAAAATTTCCCATATAAGAAATATGTTTGAAAACTTGATATTCCCTTATATTTAACCTTAATAATGGTTATGATGCAACATATGACATTCAAAGAATAATCAATCAATGCATTCTCAAAAAATCATTAATTTCTTCATCAAACTCACAAACAACATTAGAATCATTGATTTCATTATTTTCCTCTATACCAATACTTAAATTTTTCGTGATGACGCTAATAATGTCAATTAGAAAATAGCTTTGCAGAAATCTTAAATCCAGATGGAAATGAAATTGATATACGCTTAATATCCAAATTAACTGTAGTATTACCACCCTTGGATTCAATGGGTGCAAGTACAAAAGATAAATTTGATTGTTTTAACGAAATGCACAACCAAGAAATATAAAGTAACATTCTTGAAGGAAGACGACAAAACATGACAATAATTTACTTTTTTCAAGCATTCAGTAATAGTTGTCCTTTGTTTTAATAAATAAAACTCATCAAATAAATAATCACAATAAGTAGGGTGCGGCGGCATTTTCATCCCGTTTGAATATCACGTTCGGCTGAACGACTTGGTGTCGCGGCGTTCAGATATTGTGATTTCCTTAATACCTTCGCAAGTTGGAGGAACCCCGCGTCCGGCGTATGATTTTCGCATTTAGGGCAAGAATTCCTTTGTTGCCCTTCCGAGATCTCCCTCGCCCTCACTCTTTTGAGGAGAATCGACGCTCTGCTCCTTCACTTTGATGGAGATCGGCACACATAAGGTATTATCTTCAGCCAATTGTGCCTTCCCAAGCGTAGGAAACTTCTCTCGCACTCGCCCCCTCCTTTCTCTTCTCTTCTCTTTCTGCTAGTGCATGAGGGGTCAGTGCTTCAGTAGGTATCATTGCCTTCTTGCCCTAGACACATGAGAGTTCCTTCCACTTCTTCATTCATCTCTATTGCAAATTTATGCTTCGAAAGGTTAGATTTTCAAATATGATGTGGTTATTTGAAAAAGCATAAGCTTTCCTGTGGCATTTTTACATACGTATGATCATGCCTGGGAATTTTTTTGAGTTACAATATTGAAACGTTGACATGATGGGAATCAAATGTGTCGGTAATGAGGGGAAATGTTGGAATGTTGGAATGTTTGGGAATTTTGATTCTATATTTGCTTGCACATTAGTGGAATGATGTCTCACTTCTATGTTTCGGTATAATGGCATTTTACATTCATACAGTGAAGATGGCATTTTACATACATATAGTGGTTTAACCAAACAGGACAGAATGGTCATTTATTCAACAACAGCTTCCAGTAAGCTGTTCTGAATAAGCTACCTCAAACAGCAAGTCAGTTTATTCTAATAATCTGCAAATTATTATATTATCAAAATAGTTTGTTTATCAACAGATTATAAATAATTAACAGCTGCCCAAAACAAACTCTAACTCAAAAATGTTTTTTTTTCTACGATTTTTTCATTTCAACCACTATGGCAGTGCATTCATTTCCCACCATTTCCTTTTGTTGCTCACAGTGCATTCATTTCCCAACATTTCCTTATGTTGCTCAGTGCTCATATAAAAAATTCTAGTTTGCCAAATTAATTTTACATTTTTGAATCTCACTTATCTATCGCTCATCAAGCATTTCTCATCATTCGAAGAAATTATCTAAATCCAACAGTCATAAAAATTTGTCATTTGAAGAAATTATCTAAATCCAACAGTCATAAAAATTTTGTCATTTGAAGAAATTATCAGTCATAAAAATTTGTCATTTGAAGAAATTATTTAAATCCAACAGTAAGAAAAATACAAACTTCAAAATCAATATTATCATTATGAGTTGAAACTTCAAGTTCAGTTTTTCTTATCATATTAAATTTTAACATTTATAATTTTCATAAGCATCAATATCAAAAATTTTAAATTATCTATGATGAATATTTTCTAGTCACCACCATAATTAACATTCAATTAAGGCTCTGTTTGGGACCGCAGGGTGAGCACGTCGCGGGGTCGGGCCGAGAAGTGCACGTGTTTGGTTCGCCGTCCCGAGCGCGGCGAGATGCCTTTTAGGCGGAACGGGGGTCGCTGATCGAACCCCGCGGCTTGTGGTCGAGCGATGGATTATTACGTTCCTCGCCTCTGCCCTAACCAAAATCCCTCTGTTCGAAACCGTCGTGGATCAATCCCAAAATTTCTCCAGTCCGCTCTTGTTCAGAATCTTGTTAGGGCTTCCTGAATCGTCTTCTTCGAGTTTCGATGATCGCAGATAAGTTCGATTGAATACATAGAGAGAGATCTTGTGCTGATAACGGTATCGATAGATTAGAGAAATGTGACGATGAAAGATCTCATCGAAACCCTTCGAGAGGTTGATTGGTCTTATGCCTCCATGTCCTCTCACTGAATTCTTCTCCAGATTCACCGTCCCCAGATCCTCCTCTAAATCTCGTCTCTCTCATTCATTTTATTCTTCAATTAGTTTTTTCTTTCTGTTAATTAGTTTTTAGATGCGTTTGTGTTTTTTTTTTGGGTTCTCTTTATGACCGGTATGTGATTTAGGGCTCATATATTGATTCTTTGTTCTATGTATTTAGCTAGTTTATGATTAGCAAAATTTTAATTTTTAAAGTGTTTTTGGCTTTTTTTTGCTGGGATTTGTTTGTTGTCTTTGAAGGACAGAATTGTTAGCATGGAATTGATTTTTTATGCTAAGTTGTTTTTTCTTAAAGTTCTGCTATTCTCAGTGCTTTGTTCTCAGTAGCCCATGATTTGATGTACAAATGCTCCTTCGCATGAGCATTGCACTGCAATGATGTCATGTTTTACACAGTTTTACTAAATAAGGGCAGAATAGTCATTTTTTCAGAAACAGTTATCTCACGATTGTTTTCACACAACTGCAAAAACAAACAATTAACTTCCCCACAGCAGCTGACAACTTCCTGGGGCAGCGCAGTTGCTGTTGAAAAGTTGAGAAGCCGCAGCTGCCCCAAATAGACTCTAAGTTAATTTATCATTATGATTGCTATCCACTTCACATTCATGAGCTTGATAATTTGAAAATTGTCATTTCTTATTTCAACCAAGTGCCTAGTGTAACATATTTAATTTAGTTTTTTCAATAATTCAAGTAATTAATTTCATAATATTGTCGCAGTTACATTTGTAACATCCCGGGAGAGAAGAGTCGAACAGTTTAGCAGAAGAGAAGATGAAACGAAGCCTCAAGTAAACGAAGAACTGAAGATAAGGAATTGAGAAGCTCGAGCAGCAGAAGAGGGGAGAGAAGAAGCTATAAGTTCGGGAAACCGAATAGGTAAGTTCGTCTATAAATTTGTTGAGAGGGAGGTAGGAACATTCAAACA